TTTGCAATATCAAAATCATTACATTGCAGTACGGTAATTAAAAGTTCACTGATGGACTCAGGGGCTGCACTGCCCAGTATATCTTTAACCTGGTTAAGGAATATGGCTCTCAGTGGAGCATAACAGGGGCATATCATCATAAAATGGAACTCATCTTCAACTGACCACATGTTGCACACCGTATTTTAGGATTCATGCAATTGTCGAGTGCGGAGGCATCTGAGTAGTTCCGAGTGTTACACCCACAGCACTGCCCGGTTTATGACGTCATGGATAGCCACAAATTGCTCGATAAATATTTGATACTACATTAAATACCGAGGTCCTTCCCTCCCTTGGCTGACGTCCCTCTTATTTCAAATAATGGTATTTAGCAATAGCGGATCCAGGATTATTTGAAGGACGGGGGTGGGATACGCGGATGCGAAGCCGACCCCCCCCTCCCCCCTGGCGTATTTCCCTAGGTTCGGGGCCCCAAAATTTTGGTATTATAGAGGGCGAATGATGCCATAAGGTACGGTTTAGAACTATGATTCAATTTGTCAAAATTCTAATTTCAAGAGGGGAATATTACTTTGATTTTTTCAACATTTGTTTTTATTCTACGTTCGACAAGTAAAAAACAAAAACATTATCAGCAAATTAAACTCAATTATCAAAATAACTTTAAATGTCCATAACATAAGTTCTAACCAGAACGATCGAAATAGGGCAGTTAATTTTAATATAATTTTTACGATCTCTCTCAAGGAGTAGAATTTTTTCTTCAGTTTATTAGAAATCTTTCTTTCTTCTTTCAGAAGCACAGCAGGGGTGAGATCTCTACAGATGCTGTATGTCAAAATCAGAGCAAATTCTCTTGAGTGTTCACAATTATTTAATAGAAAGATTGACAATTTTTCCTCATTACCATTACCGTTCGTCTTTATCTGACACAACCCGAACATTTTTCTACCTACTGAGCCGTCTCAGTTGGGAAGTGAATTGAACCAGATTTTGGCATGCTAGTCATATACGCGAGTTAATTTTGTGACATCTTTTTAATACTTTGACTTATATCACCTATTTTTTATTACTTTGTTGTTGACATTATCCACGATATCTACAGCGTATCTACAAAGTGCAGGATCATCCCACAACGTCCCCCTCTTTCTTTCCAATTAACTGTAATCTTGGTGAACCTAGCTTATGTAATTAAAAAGGACCTGCTGGGACCTTAAGGTAATGACGTTATATACCCTTTCTTCCATTTTTAACAAGCATTTTATTAAAGTACTATTAACTTGGGAAAGGCTCGAACTTCGTCTATGTACCATAATGTAAGATAAAACATGAGCTCAATTTTTCTTTCAAATGTTTTACTTTTTTCTTTGCAAATCAATCACATTTTAATGTAAGGAGTTAAAATTTCTTACACCACAATCAGATTCACACATACTGATCAGTCCAACTCTGCAAGGGATTCTTGCTGAAGTGCAATCAATGTAATCAGCTTTATTGTCTGACAAGTATTGAGTACCAGGGCGGGGGGAATGAACTATCTTGTGTTGTATAGCGAATTCCACTGATTGCACTTTTTGCAGAGTTCCCGACAGAGTCGGACAAGCCCAGTTAGTATAATGACTAGATCCTTAGCAACTGCTTTGGGCAGCTGGCTTCTCAACTTATTTTTAAGCAGATGCATTTGTTTTCAGAGCAGTAGGCTTCAGAGCATGGTAAATAATTTGTTACATGCAACATTCACATCCCTGGCATATACATGCCATACATGTAAGGATTAGGGTTATCTCCGTGATAAACAGCCTCTGGAGTAGGGAACACATTACTGGAGTGTGGACCCCTAAATGAAGTTTGCTGAGATCTAAATGCACTGTCAGTGTGCTGAGGTCCGAATGTACTCTCACTTTGCTGGGGTCTATATGTGCTATCAAACTGTTGACTGATGAATGAACTGTCCAACTGCTGACTCATTTCCAAACCATCAGAGTTTTCACTGTCAAATCCGTCCTCAGCACGCTGGCTTTTGTGAATTTTAGCTAGACTTTTCACTTTATTTTCAGCTGTCTGATGTTTAACCGCTTTCTGTCCAATGTGCGTCTTTTCATGTGTTCTGCGATGAGTTTGAGTTTTGAAAGCCTTATCACAGTATTTGCATTTAAATGGTCTCTCCCCAGTGTGAGTCCTTTCATGTTTAGCAAGGGTGCCTCTGTCACGGAAACCTTTTCCACAGTATGAACATATTTGTGGTTTAATTCCAAGGTGGGTTTTCACATGACCTCTCCAATTGGCTTTCCTTACGAATCGCTTGTCGCAGTGATCACACTTGAAAGGTTTTTCCCCCGTGTGGAAGCGTTCATGTTCCTCACAGGCTAATTTTAGGGCAAAGCCCTGTCCACAGTATTGACATTTGTGTGGCCTCTCTCCAGAATGTTGGGTGAATTCATGAGATTTCAAAGTCGAGGTTTGGGCAAAGCTTTTGGTACAGTACTGGCACAAATAAGGTTTTTCTCCGGTGTGAGTATTTTCATGGTCTTGCAAAAATCTTCTACATGAAAATGACTTATCACAGATGTTACATTTGTAGGGTCTTCCAACAGTATGAAACTTCTCATGCTTGTCAAGTGCTCTCTTTCCCCAACAAGATTTTCCACAATGACAACATTTAAATTCATGTGACTTGTCATGTTCCACTAAATCACTTCTTTTAGTAAATGTCTTTTCACACTGGAGACATTTGAATCCATNACATCTAGTTGCATTTCAGCATCATTATCTGTGGCCTCATCGGATTCATTATAAGTACCTTCTTTGTTCAAAGTCACGTTCTTTCCATCTGATCCGCATTCTTGATCGTCATTAATTGCGTTTTTATAACTTTCCCTTGACGAAGACATGGCATCAGTAATGGCTGTGCTATGGGTAGTCTTTTCTTGCTCAAGATCTTCTTAAATTAACCTTTAAAACGAACAGTAATCTCCAGATCTTATCGTTTCGCTACAGAAAAATCAATTCAAGTGCGAACAAAGGGAAAGTGCTGTCTTTCGATTGTATGAAATAAAGACATTTACATTTTCTTATTTAAATTTTCTTTTCTGTGTATATCGATGTATTCTTTTGTTTATTTATAGTATAGACAACTTTGTAAAGAAAAATTTAGCCAAATTGAGAAAATTATAACGCAATGTCGCAAATCACCAATATGCTCACCTCCTAAAGCTCAGCCTGTCTTGGTTTCTTTAGCTAATTACACTATTACACCAATCGGCAATCCTCGGCTGACTCCGCAGTCGATTGCGGAGACATCCGAGTAGTTCCGAGTGTTACACCCACAGCACTGCCCGGTTTATGACATCGTGGATAGCCCCAAATTGCTCGATAAATATTTGATACTACATTAAATACCGAGGTCCTTCGCTCCCTTGGCTGACGTCCCTCTTATTTCAAATAGTGGTATTTAGCAGGGGCGGATCCAGGATTATTTGAAGGACGAGGGTGGGGTACGCGGATGCGAAGCCGACCCCCCCCTCCCCCCTGGCGTATTTCCCTGGGTTCGGGGCCCCAAAATTTTGGTATTATAGAAGGCGAATGATGTCGTAAGATACGGTTTAGAACTATGATTCAATTTGTCAAAATTCTAATTTCAAGAGGGGAATATTATACTTTGATTTTTTCAGAAATCGAGAAAGAGGGCGGGGGCAGGACCCCCCC